GCTGTGTAACATCGGCTGTAAAGGATAACGACGCATCTCGGCGATTCGTAAAACGCGCGCGGCACGCCTAACGTTATAACGACGGAAAACGAGAGCGGTGAAAGAACGTGAATTAATAAGCCGGTAGAAACGGTATATCGGAAAGAGCACGCGGGCGAGTGAATGGGAACGGGACAAGGGTGATTCGGATTAGAGGAAGAAAAAACGTGCAGCCCAAGATTATAGAGGCCATAAAAGGGGCGGGCGAGCTAATGACTTCCTGGCAATCAAAAGAGTTGATAAAATCTGTTGAAAATGACGGGTAAAAATAAATAAGGAAATCCTAAAAAAAAAAACGTGAAACTTTTGCGAGTTCTATTCATCTGTGTGTCGCCTAAGATTATCATATTTCATAAATAAATTCTATCCGGAAATAATTATGCACATGCATAACATTCGGCTTATCACCACGTCCAATCGCGCAGCTCAATCGCTCAATCGATCAGCTTGTCGTAATTATTATCTCATAAGCGATTCACGTGTCGCGTTATCATTCCAATTCTCGTGCATAATTTTCTTAGTGGAAACGCAATTTGCTTCCTAACTGGCTCGTTATCGACATCGAGAGCGCCGAGATAATCCGGTTTTATCCATATCTTGCGTTTCTTATTACATAGTTAAGAAAATACCTCGCTATCTGTGCGTTTATTGTACATATGTCTGTCTTCTGGTCAATGACATTATTTTGGAACGTGTTCCAATTTATATAGAAAAATATAAAAACTGGAATATTTTATTATTACTGTTATTAAATTAATTTCTTTCCACGTCCAAATTATAATAAAAAAGGGGATATGGATTTTTACCATTACCAAATTATAATAAAAAGGGGATGCGGATTTTTCAGAAAAATTTCAAATATAATATATCTGATGGGAAAATAAAATATATAGGGAAGAGAGAAAGAGAATTGTTTGCTCATCGTAATATTCAATTTAAATTACCATTGTACTGTAAAGGTAGAGTGTTACAAATATTTACACTTATATTGCTCAGTTTCGCTTCTGGGCATCGATAAAAAATGAATTCACGCATGAAAAATTTGAATTATTGTGGCGGTTAATATTAAATAATCTCATATAATAACGTGCACGTTTTTCTTCATTTTTTTTTTAAATGTGTAATTGAATATGCAAAATAAAATTATCGAAAATTGGTATTTTAAAAGCCTCATGAAAAGAGCAAAAAAGAGGAGGGGGAACAAACGAAGAGATATAGAGAGCGAATCTCGAGGACTCTTAACCGTAATAAATACGCCGCTGCTTGTATTCGCGTACGCGTGCACACGTATGTCGCGCGCGCACCACGCGAGGGGGTTTCCGTGCAACCATTAATTAGATTAGCATATGCCGGAAAAAGATGCTGTCCGCACCGTAATGCGTCCGCACCTATATCCGTCGGCGGTGAAGATGCTATTATCTCGACGTACGTTAATGGTATTGTGGAATATCATCCGTCGTCGTCGCCTTCAACATCGCGCGGCACGTTTCTTTCTTTCTCTCTCTCTCTCTCTCTCTCTCTCTCTCTCTCTCTCTCTTTTACTATTTATATCTCGTGTGCGAGACTCGCGAGGGTAAAAATAAAATCGACTGATGCGACGATTTAGTGTACCAGATTATTTTTTTACCTCGCGGAATACGCTCTCTCTCTCTTGATATACTTATTGAAATCTTACTCGAAAGGATGATTATGCATTTGCTTGCCTTTACGTTGCGTAAAAATAGCGCACAGTTGATTAGTGAAAATTGCACAGTATTCATTTCTATTTATTCTTCCACGTGTTTTAAATTACGGCGATAATCCTGCTTTCTCTAGAATATGATTTGTGATTTTTTTTTGTCGAAGAGACTTTTATAAGAATTTTGAAATTATTGTTTGTTGCGATTTTTTAGTGTTGAACTCTCTCTTGATTTAATTCTGAAATTGTACATTTCACTTGAATTTATATAAACTATTAAATTCCGCTATTTTTTTTTATTTCGTACTTAATCACGTTGTTTCATCGCGAGTCTGATGGGCGGAGAGCTTTTTATTTTCAATCGCGTGCAATTCGAAGATAAGTGGCATCTCGGCATTCTGATCAAGAAAAAAAAAATACTTCGAATTCAAGAGACTTTCTTTACTCAGGCACGTATCATATATGTACATGTGAATCGTACTTCAGAGCCTGCAGGCAGCACGTAAGAGCTCTTCTCTTTGCGTATACGTGATCGAGATGCTCTCGTGCGCGTGCGAGACACATAAGCGGAGCACATAACGCTCGTGTGTATCTGCCGGAATGCAATGGCCTAGGTGAAATGCCTGGCTCCGTGCCAGAGACTTTAACCTCAATTTGCAATAAAACACACACGAGAGAGAGAGAGAGAGAGAGAGAGAGAGAGAGAGAGAGAGAGAGAGAGACGGAGGAAGGAAAATAGAGAAAGAATATACGAGAGGGTGGATTCTTCCGCACGGACGCGCACGCGGCTCGTCTCGCAGGTCCTCGCTCCCTGCTCTCCTGTACAGAAATGCGAAATGCTGTGCAGCCGGCACAGGACGATCTGTGCACGGCGAGGTATGCCGAATGAATTTTTCAGTAACATTAATTCGAGAAATTTCTCTTGATTTTCTGGTCATGGCTTTGAGAATCTTCTATATGCTCACCGTCGCGTTCTCGCTACGGTGACATAATCCTTCGGAGGATTAGGCCTGAAAGCCGGAGATTGTGCGATTAACTATCTGCCGTCGGCATTTCCTCCGCTAACATCATTGGCGATCTTATCGTAACGGTTGTGATGGATATTATAATTGAAATATACAGCGTTATAATAGTAATTTTTAACCGACTTTATTTTCAAAATGTATTTTATGCTATTAGATAATATTGATGACGTGGGAAATATATCATGAATGTATCGAGATAAAAAAGTAGATCAAGATTTTGTGGACGCCACATCACTATCTAAATGAAAAATGAAGTTGGGGGTCATAGAATTAATGTACATACATATGATAAATTATTGGAATATCATAAAATATCGAAAGATCGATTTAACTTTTAATGAAACAGAGAAAATTTATTAATCCTCGGGAGACTATACTTTCGTATTTGCGTCCGTTTGTATCGCGTGTTACGACCTGTGGAAGACGTGCAATCTTACGAGACGATCGCGCTTGGTATGCGAAGGAAAATTACAGTATGCCAAGCGGCGTTATATCCCGGGGAGAAAACTTAAGGTGTAAAAAATTTCAGTAATTTAGCGAAGCACTCTCAAGACCTAACTTCATTTTTGCGAAAGTCTAGGATTTTTATTACAAGATGCCTGGAATACCCTGACACGACGGATTCCGGTAATTTAGTCTGCACCTATTTTCGTCCCCTTTCTTTTCATCGCTATGCAACTGCGGCCACTGCGGGTATTACGTTACGCTACATTATCTCGTGGTCCAACTAATGTATGTTGGGCATCCTCCCTACTCACGATTTTATGCAGTTTTTAACGGGGCGAGCACAAAGTGTACGTTTACTCGGCTAAAATTTCGAAGAGGAGCCAATAAATTCCGAGCGATCGGGGATAAAGTATCCTTCTCTCGAGTCAGCATGAAGACCCTGTTTGTTTAGACCTTATCCTCTCGGAGAACGTTCGTTTGTATTTAATTACAACGCCCCACGCCCCTTTGAGAGCCCCACTAAGAAACATTAGTCTCCGGACTCGTCGTGGAATTCGTCGTTAAAATTTAGGTCGTCGTCTCGCGTCGTGTGTACGCGAGACATTCGCTCGACGCTCGCTCGCGTTTATCTCGAAGCGCGCTTCTTCCCCGTCCGCGTCCGTTTATCACCGCGGCAATAAACGCGGCAGTTAAACAAAGAACGGTAACCCGCCTTGTCCTGGTCCGCCTCCGTGCCTTCCGCGCCGATTCCCCGGGTGCCGGTGGCTTTACGAGCGGCGACGAAGACCCCGGGACTGACTGTTACGATTATCTGACTGCGGGTACGTACATACGTACCGCACATAGCGCAAGCAAGGACGAAGGGTAACGAAGTACGACGACGACGACGACGACGACGACGAAAACGACGAAAACGATGCGGGAAGGAGATAGAGACCTCTGGAGCCATCCAGAGTCTATATAAAGTCTTGCGGCTCTGGCGCTGCGCGATTTTACCCGTGGCGAAAGTCACACGAACTGAAACGTCACAGATGTGCTACCGATTGCGCGGAAAGACGTAGCGAATGGCTCCTATTCATGCCGTACGTTCGAGAGGTTCGGAACGATTATTTCTTTGCTGTTTCCACCGCATAAAACACAACACGACGCTCTTGATTCCGACGTTATATCGACATACACACTTTTAAGCAAACGGATATTTCGTGCGAGAGTTTTCTCGAAAGTGAGGCAAAACAGACGTGGTTTCTCTTAATTTTATTACATTACTTCTTTTGCTCGTGTTCATTACTACTTTATATATTATTATTAAGGATATTATTTTAACGAGTTCTGTAATATCGCACGAAAATCGATTCTGCCGCAGTGTATAATTATAGTTGAGCCGCAATGTCTGTGGCGTGCCTGTAATCTGCGTGATCGGTCGAGCTGTAATAAATCGGTACAATCGTTTATTTTAATCCACAGTCAGCTGACTCCGAAAGAAAGCGTGGAAACATTTTCGTTGCACGCGAGGTATCAGCATTCGATGCTCAATCTACGTCTGCGATTTGTCTTCGTTAAAAATTAGAATAACACAGTCACGTTTATTTAAGTAGATCAGTCTACCTTTATTCAAGACTTGTTTTCTTGTAAAACATTACTAAAAGTGTACAAAATTATTTCTACATGGGCTTGAGTGAGCAACAAAAAGCTACATTTGCGGATATAGTTGTATCTTTGTATATACATATTCATTTTTTTATTTTTATATTAATTCTTGCGTTTCCGAATAATTAAAAAAAATTAATTGATGTTTTTTATTTGTTGTTTAGCCACGACCTGGAAGAAGGCCTCGAAGACGGCCGGGAAACGCGGCGCAGCTACAGACAACCCCTAGGGTACAAAGCCCGATATCACAGCAGCTCGAAAAAGGTAAGTGATTTCCGCAATTTATATATATATATATATATATTTTTTATTTCGTTACACGGAGAAGAGTTTCGATTAACAGTAAGTTTGCAAAGCGAATCGCAAAGTATCGCGTCACCGTAATTGACTGTCGTTTGCGAAAAATCGAGAAAATCGCGTTTTACCAAGTATCTATTTCAAATACGACATGCAAGCATCTGCTAACGTTATTACACATTTTAACATTATTATACATTTGAGAGAACTGTGTCGAAGAACTTTATATTTGCACATACCGCACGATATCTGAAGTAATTAAAGCTCTACCAACGATTTCAAAGTAAAGAAACTTTCACAGAAATTCAAGTTTCTCTCGGGAGCTCCACCGAGATTTTTCCGTAAATGATAGTCAATTCCGAAAGCGAGAGAGGAACTTCCCTCGTCCCGAAACGACTGACGATAATCGCGAGTGGCGTGCTATTTGAAATTGAGATTTAATGAGAACGCAAATGGAGAGAAACTCCCCCCCACCCCTCTCTCCTCTCTCTCGTAGGTAAGTGCGGGAGAAGCTCGGTTGCCCGAAATTCATTAGTCGGTTCGCGGAATGTCTGCCCCGCTAATTTCTCTCTGGGGCGGAAGTGGTGGCGGTATTCGCGCGCTGATGAATACTGTTTTAATCGTGTTCCGAAGGCAGTGAACTTTCGTAACGGCGGGGGAGAAAGAGGGGCAGGGGGGGACGGCTCGCGCGCGCACAACGGTCGGGAGTTTCTCGGGGACTTCATCGGGAGGCGAGCTCGAAGCGCGGGCGCCGCCGTGCGCCGATAAATCTTTTTAAGTCGATGAACGCGATCGGCCGGCCGCGTCGCCGGCCCGATACTCGAGGGTCAGGCCGACACAATCGCGGCCGACGGCCGTTAATCGTTATCGGATAGTAAAAGCTTATCCGGCGCTCGGTTTCCGATAGCCGTTGCCACGGTCTTATTCGACATGCCATTCTTGCCCGCGTTTTGTTGGGAGGGGGGGGGGAGGGAAGGGAGATCGTTTCACCGATCGATCGTACCGAACAATCTCGCCCTCGCGCGCGCGTCCGCGCCCGCGAACAACAAGACGAACGAAAGGGTTCTGATTTAACAACGCGATCCCCGGCGTCTCGGGTATCATAATAAAAGCGCGATAAAAGCGCCGTCTGATATCGCGCTCGCGTCGTGTCGTACATCGGCAAGCGCTCGTAAACATCGCGAGTTAGGGCGTAGGAAGTGCGTGAAAAACCGATTGTTGCTAAGGCAAATAATACCCGCTGCTGTTTCTGATACGAAGGAGAATGAGACGTGTCACATCTGAAACTGTTGCAGTTTTTTCACTTTCCAGAGATATATTTATGATGCTTTTAAATTAAAGGACCCGATAACGTCTATTCTGTAATTAATGTGAAATCGATGTCTCGTTCGTTAAAATGTTAGGACGTCAATAACTTTCGCGTCACGAGTGATTGAAAATTAAGAGTTGAAAATTAAGTTTCTGCAGCGCAATTAAACAGCAAATCCCTGAACTTTATTTGCTATCACGACTCAGTGATGCAAAATCAACTTTGAATATTAAAAAGATTACAGCTAACGATGATTACCAGAAATATAATTTTCGAATTCATCCAAGGGAGTTCAATCCTTGAAAGGAATTTCTGTTAAGAAATTTCTAAAATAGTCAATCTGATATAGTCAATAAATAAATCACACACTTTTTTCCCATCCGACATTACAGAGAAACTGTGTTTGCATTATATATCTCCGGAAGAACATTAATCTAGAAATATGCGCAACATCGCACAAAGTTGGCGAAGTGACGCGCGGAACGCACCCGTTACGTACGAAATGGCATCGCCGATAAACCGCCAGTTATCGGGGCCAATAACTATAACTCTCCCCCACCACGTCTCGCGCACCGACGCCAAGGCGGAAGAGCCCAGTAGTGAGCTACCGCATAGCTCTGTCGACCCAGTGTCCAGGTCTTCGGCATGGTCGATGAAGCGAGGTCAAACGGGGTCGTCGTTGCCCTCGTCCTCGTCGTCGTCGTCTTCATCGTCGTCGTCTATAGATGCGCGCCGAATCGACCCGCGCGAAGGTCAGACAAGCCGGGCTCGGTGACTCCTCGTGTCCCCCATGCCTCCGAGGGCTGTGTGAAGTTGGCACCCCATTTTTAAAAATTCAATATTTTAAACACAGTTCCATTGGCACCCACAATAGTTCTATAGTTCCTGATAGACAAGAACAATAGTTCCGTCGATTTAATACAAAAAAATTGAATTTTTAAAATATGGGGTGCTAACTTCCCGTAGCACCCCATTTTGTAAAAAATGTTAAATGAACCGTGGAATTCTATAGTTCTCGAAGAGTTCTATAGTTCCTGCACAATTTTAACAATAGTTCCGCACAATTAACATTTTTAATCAATTTTTTATTCCGACCGCTGGCACCCCATATTTAAAAAGTATGGGGTGCTGGCAGTTCCGGTCGTTTTGCTGACAGTTCTCGACAGTTCTCGCATAGTTCTGATAATTTTTATGCATTTGCAAAAGAGTTCTCGCCTCTAACTATTTTTAATCAATTTTTTATTCCGACCGCTGGCACCCCATTTTTAATAAGTACGGGGTGCTGGCAGTTCCGGTCGTTTTCCTGACAGTTCTCGACAGTTCTCGCATAGTTCTGATAATTTTTATGCATTTGCAAAAGAGTTCTCGTTTCTAACTATTTTTAAATTAGTGCCAGCGGTCGAAATAAAAAATTGTTTAAAAATAGTTAGAGACGAGAACTCTTTTGCAAATGCATAACAATTATCACAACTATGCGAGAACTGTCGAGAACTGTCAGGAAAACGACCGGAACTGCCAGCACCCCATACTTATTAAAAATGGGGTGCCAGCGGTCAGATTGAAAAATGGTTTAAAAATAGTTAGAGACGAGAACTCTTTTGCAAATGCATAACAATTATCAGAACTATGCGAGAACTGTCGAGAACTGTCAGGAAAACGACCGGAACTGCCAGCACCCCGTACTTATTAAAAATGGGGTGCCAGCGGTCGGAATAAAAAATTGATTAAAAATAGTTAGAGGCGAGAACTCTTTTGCAAATGCATAAATATTATCAGAACTATGCGAGAACTGTCGAGAACTGTCAGCAAAACGACCGGAACTGCCAGCACCCCATACTTATTGAAGATGAGGTGCCAGCGGTCGGAATAAAAAATTGATTAAAAATTATTAGAGACGAGAACTCTTTTGCAAATGCATAAAAATTATCAGAACTATGCGAGAACTGTCGAAAACTGTCAGCAAAACGACCGGAACTGCCAGCACCCCGTACTTATTAAAAATGGGGTGCCAGCGGTCAGATTGAAAAATGGTTTAAAAATAGTTAGAGACGAGAACTCTTTTGCAAATGCATAACAATTATCAGAACTATGCGAGAACTGTCGAGAACTGTCAGGAAAACGACCGGAACTGCCAGCACCCCATACTTTTTAAATATGAGGTGCCAGAGGTCGGAATAAAAAATTGATTAAAAATAGTTAGAGGCGAGAACTCTTTTGCAAATGCATAAATATTATCAGAACTATGCGAGAACTGTCGAGAACTGTCAGGAAAACGACCGGAACTGCCAGCACCCCATACTTTTTAAATATGGGGTGCCAGCGGTCGGATTAAAAAATTGTTTAAAAATGTTAATTGTGCGGAACTATTGTTAAAATTGTGCAGGAACTATAGAACTCTTCAAGAACTATAGAATTCCATGGTTCATTTAACATTTTTTACAAAATGGGGTGCTACGGGAAGTTAGCACCCCATATTTTAAAAATTCAATTTTTTGTATTAAATCGACGGAACTATTGTTCTTGTCTATCAGGAACTATAGAACTATTGTGGGTGCCAATGGAACTGTGTTTAAAATATTGATTTTTTAAAAATGGGGTGCCAACTTCACACAGCCGCCTCCGAGCGATTCGGCTCCGCGTTCATTCATGGACTCGCCAGGAGGCTGCCAGGAACCGGGGTGTTATTTCGAGTGCGAGAGAGCCGGCCGCACGGCCGTACGATATGAAAAAAGGGTGTAACACGATCGAGGGTGGGTAGGGCGAGAGATGGTAGGCGAGATGGAAGACGGGGCGAGAGAAAAGGAACGGCACGAGAGGACGGAGGAACGCATTGGGAGAAACGGGTTACGGGTGAGGGAACGCGGGGGGAGAAGCGGAGTGAGAAGGAGCATATAGTCATATATAGCTGAGGGACGAGGGAAATAAATGGTTCGAGGAACCGGCAGAAACCGGTTCGCGGACAAAAGACACGTTGCGCCGGCACCGCCATCGAGCAATTCAAGGGATGAGAAGGAAGGAGAAGAAGAAGAAGGAGAAGAAAAAGGAATCGTTTTGGAGGATTGCGGGACGCGAGAGGGTAAGAGATGAGGAAAGGCTGACTCAGGAGGAAGAAAAGGGTCCTGGTGATTCCGATGGAAGAGGCCGGTAACCTCCCACCGGCCTCTCAAGCCTGTGTTACGCGATCTAAAATTCGCGAACAGAATTTTATCAAAATATTTTTATGGTAACATCTATGTCTGTAAAATTGAAACGCGTTCTCTTCAATCTTTTATAGCATATGCAGACAATTTTATTGTACAAACAATACGTGCCAGATATACGTAAGAGGCAAAAGATGGATATGTTCAGAAAATTTGTATGTTTAAATTAATATTATTTAGAGTGCAATTCTTCACAACAGTTTGTAAAAACGAGATCTTATTTTACCTCTTTGTATGTAAGAATTAATAATGAAAATTTGTCAAATGGATCGTGTGAAAGGGACATAATACAGGTCGAGGAACGAGAACTGCACGGTCTTCGTTCGCGGTGAATTCGCTCTAATCCTCAAGAGGCCGTTTCTTAGCTCCATTTCTTCAGGGTCCCTCCGCGGCCTACCTCTTGTCTATTTATCTTCCTTTCTCTCGTTCTCTGGGTTACTCGAGCTCTCATTACGAGC